CTAGGAAAGCAGCATGCCCTTGGACATACAGAACATCGTGGAATGGTTTTGTTGGAAGGACCCTAAAGCCCATCCAGTGCCACCCCTGCCATGGCAGGGACACCTTCCACTGTCCCAGGGTGATCCAAGCACCTTCCAACCTGCCCTTGGAGACTTCCAGGGATCCAAGCTGCTCTGGGCACCCTTGACTGCAGGAGTTTCCAGATAAGCCTGGGTGTAGTGGGGCTTTGATGTTTTCTGCCCAAACAGGCCCTCCAGCCCCTCAAGTGTTTTGTGTTATTTTCTGAGCAATCTTCTTTTTACTTCTCCAGAAACACATTGTTTCAAACACAGCCAGTTTGGGCACATTTTTTGAAGACAGAAAACAGGGACAGCAAGAAGATTGTCACTGGCTTCTTAAATGTGCAAAAATCAAAATTATCTTGGGCTTTTCTCTAAGAGTCTGGAGACTGCTCTGGCTCTGCTTTCACCCTGAGGGCTTTGCTTCCCTTTCAAAGACTTTTCTGTGAGCTCTGCTGTTTTGGGTGGAGGTAGGCAGTGACTGTCTCCCCTCCCTCAGCTGATTTTATTCTGCTGCAAACTGTCTCAGGAGGGGCAGAAGTCTCTGGCCTACTCTGGGACCTGCTCCCTGTTACAAAGCTTTGCCCCTGTGAAAAGTGCACCTTCTTAGGGCTTGTGGGACCCCCACGTGCTCCTGCTGCCCTACAAAGAGCCCTGACACCCCTGTGTGTGTGGCTGGGAGCATCTCACCCGCTGTGCTGGCTCTGTGTGGAGCCTTTCCCCAGCCTGAGCCCCAGAGGGTGCAGGCTGAGAGGCTTTGGCTGAGCAGATCCTCTCTGTCCCCAGGGCAAGTTCACCACAGCCAGCGACGTGTGGGCGTTCGGGGTGACCCTGTGGGAGATGTTTGTGCTGTGCAAGGAGCAGCCCTACAGCCTCCTCACGGACGAGCAGGTCATCGAGAACACGGGCGAGTTCTTCCGCAGCCAGGGCAGGCAGGTAAGGAACACAACGGGCTCTTCCAGGGCCTCCCTGCTGCCCTCACCTCACCTGCAGCAGTCTCTGCTTCTACTCAGCTGCTCACCTGTGTCCTGCCTCTCCTCCCCCTTTTCTGGGCCCAGTTTTCCCTCTCTGAGTCTCACTGGAAGAATCCCTCGGCTCTGTCCTGCCTCTTCCCTGTTCTAAACCGCTTCACTCTGCCCTGGCTTCGGCTTTTCCAGGCTCTCCCACACAATCCTCTCGCTCCTTCCTTCTGTCAGCACTCTCCCACCAGCATTGCCTCTGAAGGATGAGGAAGCAGGAGGGAGTTGTGGTGGGAAGGAGCAGTTGTTAGTTCCCAGGGGATCAGATTCTCCCTGTAGGATCTCCACACATGCCAAGAAGCCTTTGGGCATCCCCAGCTGCTGAAGGGCTTTTGTGTGGTTTTGTCCCCACTGCTGCTGCCCTCAATAATAGATACCAGTGATGGTGCAGGACATTCCATCTCCTCAGTATCCAAAGCTGTGGAGTACCAGTTCAGAGCAGTTCTCCCCAAAATTCACCTTCAGCACCAGAGAATTAAGGGAAATAAAATGATGAGGAGTTTACTCACCATCTTCTAAATACTGATTAGCCAAGAGCCTAAAAAAATGAGAGGGAGAAGTAGAATCATTCTGCCAAGCTGTGCTGTAGATAAGCTCTAAAAGGTGTTTTTTCTGTCTCTGCTAACAAGCTGTCACGATGCTTAGAAAGCCTCATGGGTTGTCTGCGGTGAGTTGAAAGTACTTGGATTTTATTGTGGTAACTTTGGTTTTGGTTTGTGTTTTGCTGTCTCTTGGAAGACAAAGCCCTCAGAAGCATTCCTGTTTTCTTGGGGGACAAAGGCCTGTTCTGTGACCAGCTCATCAGCCAAGCTGGCAAAGTGTCCGTGGTGCTGTTTGAGAGGCTCTGTCCAGACTGCAGTGCCAGGCTGGGGCTGGAGGGATTCCAAACCCTGCATGGTGGCTGTGTCTTGTAAACCTGGAATGAAACTGTCTTTTGGTGTTACTTTAGTAAAGGTTCAGTTCTTTTGTGGGACCCCCACTGAAATACCGTGACTCTCTTCCTTTCAGATCTATCTCTCCCAGACTCCTCTGTGTCCTAACCCTGTGTTCGACCTGATGCTGAAGTGCTGGAGCAGGGATATCAAAGATCGTCCCACTTTTGACATGATCCACCAGTTCCTGCTAGAACAGATGGAATCAAACATTTGACTCCAGGAAAGAGGCAAGCTGTTGAGAGCAGAGTGACTTTGGGGTGTCTTTGCCTGTCCCTCAGGTCAGGCCCCCTCGCTCCCCTCCCTGGCCTATTGCAGTTGGGACGTCCATGGCAGCTGCTCATTCTCTTGGCCATGGTCTGACACACAGGACCAGAGGATCTCATTTGGTTGAAAAATCATCTCCTCTTCTGAATCATTTCCTGGGAATACTGTGAGAGAGGGTTTGTTTTTTTTACCCACACACCTTTGGGCAAAAGGAATGAGTAAAACTTGGAGGGACTTGGAGCTCTCTCCTGGCTGGAAGAGAAGGCACCGGTCGGTGAGAGCGCTGCCGCTTCTGCGAGGAAAGACTGCAGCCTTCTAGAGTTATTCCATGGAATCTGATGGAAGTCTTGTGCACATGAGCAAGTGTTTCTGTGTGCTCTTGCTACAGACAATGGTGGGAGGCCAGAAACATCTGGAGCTGGGAAATGGTTTAATGGGCTAGGGAACTGACGGAGCATTTAGGGACCCTTCGGGAGTGACGCTGCCAGGGTCCACAGAAGATGCTGAAACAAGAGTCCAAGATGATGTTCTGTTTTCCTGTGGTTGTTAAGCACTGCTTTGGTTATATATGTGCGTTTTCCCCACACTGGATTTTTTTTTATTTTCTAGGAAAAATGATTTTAAAATGAATGTTAAAGGTCTTTGGGAGGTCACTGTGTTAGAAGGTCTTCCTCTGACCTACAAGTTAGGGTTAGGGTAGGGAGTTTGTATTGAGAAGTAGCTGATACTGTACTACTGTCACTATGTAGATTTATTAACCTAATGAACTTGTAGCCACAATGGACTGATGTGCAATTAATCCTGTATAATTACCCATCAATATGAGATCTCTAAATCAATGCTGTTACGTGTGAGAGGGAACTTAGATTTGGTGGAAGCGGATGGCCGGGAGCAGAACCCTCTGTCACTTGTCACAGCTCCCAGCAGAGGGGCAGGAGCAGCACACAGGTGTGTGTCTGGAGCCAGATGTTCCTCTCCAGATGTGCAGCAGGTTGGTGCCATGGCCAGGCTCTGTCACTGCTGTCACACAGGGCTGTCCCCTGCCGTGGCCTGGCCTTTATCTCAGTGCGGGGGCCTCATTGAACTTGGGGTTGCTTTTTGTGTGTCCTGTCACAAGCAGCTCATTCTCTGCAGGGTTTTAGAGGGCTCTGAAATCCGTTTGGAGCGAGTTAGAGAATTCAGTGTGTTTCTACAATAAATCCATTGTGGATTTACCAGGTGCCTGGGGAATACTCTGCTATTCCCTCTCTAATCATTTAGCAAGATACTTAGGACCAAACCAAATATTTCATAAGCTGGGAGAGGATGAAAACTCAGCACTTGGCTTTTTTTTTTTTAAAGTAGAATCCAGCATAAAATGTATTTCCAGTAAAGATTATAAAGATAATTTTCATTTTAGCCACAAGCATAGATGACTGGCTGGCTGTGCTGTGAGAGGGCACTGCTGAGAGGGGAATGTCTGAGTGGTTACAACACAGGGATAATTGTGCTAAAAGAAAAACCCCGCTTCTGAATGGGCAGATGCCAGGCTGGAGCGTGGCATGGCTGTGTCTGCTCCTTGGGAAGGCTCCAGCCATGCCTGGGCTGTCCTGCTGGGGATGTGTCCCCACCCCAGCTGCTCCTCTGAGCCCCTTTAGGGAGCCAGAGAGTGCTCTCACCTCCCTGCAGGGATTCCTGGAAACTCACCCCCAAACAGGTTTTCTCTTTTCCCCTCTGTGACTGGAGGGGCTTGGGGTGAGCTGCCCTTCCCTGTTGGTGTCAGAGCCAGCAGGTTCCTGCTGCTGGGTGCTGCTGTCTGGCAAACCACTCAGCCAAGGTATCTGTGGAGCATTCCTGCCCCAGGAGATGTCCCCAGTGCCACCCAGCCGTGTCTGAGGTCTCCTGGGGCACAGAGTGTCCCTGGGTGGGCTCTGTGACATCTGGACATGCTGTTCCTCCATTGACATGGTGACATACAAAGTTTGTCTCATATCAATAAATTCTAATGATAACCTTGACAAAAGTGAATTTCCACTTCTTTTTATGTACCCAGGTGTCTGCCCTGAGAACTGACATTTTGGTGGGGTCGCTCAGCAGCTCTTCAGGGACTGTGTCACCCCTGGGTTTGGAGGGAGCAGCCACTCACCATGAAGAGAGTTTTAAAGGGAATTTCTGGAAATGCTGGGAAGGTGCCAGCCCAAATCCCCTCATGCTGGTGGGACCTGGATGGGCCTGGGGTTGTTGGTTGGTGCTGCATTTTAATCAGCAGCTTTTTCATCTCCAGAACAGGAGCCCCTGTGCACTGGCCATGAGGGGTTGGGAATGGGAACAACCTTTATCCTGCAGGAATCAGGCAGTGAAGGATCATCCCATCCTCAGGAGGGGTGGCTGAGCCTCCACTGCAGCCAGCACAGGGCCTGGGGCAGGCACAGCCAGGCTCTCCAGAGCCCTGGTGAGGGGTGGGAGCCATGGACACGTTTTTGGGCTGGGGCCACTTACAGGGAACATCTGGCACCGCTGTCTCCGGGGCTGGGAGCCCTCAGGAAGCCGGACAAACGCTCTGAAATTCCTGTGCTCATCCAAAACTTCCAGGTGGGGAAAGAAAGAGCTGTGTCCAGCAGAAGCTGAGGGGTTTTGTGCTGCAGGTGGAAGCTGTTGGGGGCTGACATCACAGAGGCTCCCCTGGTGACTGCACTGAGCTGTGTCTCCTTCCCCCCTCCCCACCACGAGCTGTAACACCATCATGGCAGCCTACAAGGGAAACAACATCTTCCCTAAAAACCCCTACTACATTCCTGGGTAAGTTCATCCAAAACATCCATTTCCAACACAAATGGCTCTGGTTGGGATCAGGGAGCATTTATGACTCAGGATGTTTTGGGTTTTTACAAAAGACACTGTTCAATATTCCGTGTAACTACACTCTGAAGGAGACAGAGCTCCAGGAGAAACAGAAGGGCAGAGCTACACACTGTGCCATAGCACATGCACAGCAAAGCCAAAATGGTTCTTTCCCCCCCATTTTTCCCCATTTCTTTTAAGCTGCCAAATGTCACCAGAGCTACTGTGCAGGGTTTGGCTTCCAAACTGTCTAAATATTTGCATCAAGGATTTTTGGAAGTCTCCTTTGTCTAAGTGGTTGTACAGATGTGACACCCTCTGGTCACTGGGCTGGAGCCATGGCCTGCAGCTGGGTCAGACTGGAAAGTTTTGTGATCTGCTCCATAAGTAGCTGGATTTCTTTCCAAAGCTCTTTGTGACACTCTCCTCTAAAGGCTTGGATAGAAGAAAGCCTGGATGTGAGGCGGTGAGTTACAGGGGAGAAGGTAAGATGGGAATGGGAGGAATGAGGGATTTGCTGTGAACTGAGATGTGTGTGAGGTCCTGTGATGATACCTGGTCTGGGGTGGGAAGGGCCCCCAGGGGAAAAGCAGCTGCTGTGGGTCTGGAATCCCTGGGATCAGCCCAGGCTGGGGTGAGCGCTGGCACAGGGAATGCCAGCCCTGTCCTGTGGTGCAGGGCAGGTCTGGGGAGGCAGATCCTGAGCCACAGGGAGAGGCTGGAGCTCATTTCCTTCAGGCTGCTCCTGCAGCGACCAACTCAGCCCTTCCCCTCCCAGTGACAGGGCAGGATTTTCCATTTCTGATCTCTGTACCTTCCCACTTAGATAAGCTCTGAGGCTGAGGGGTTTTTAACTCATTTCTGCATTGCTGTGGCCATCTGATGTGACGTTCCTTGTGTGCTGTCAAAGTGGCTTGGGAAACACCAGGGACAGCAAGGAGGGAGCTGTGGCTGGAATTGCAGCCCCAAAAGCCTCAACACCTTCCCTTGCTCACCCCTCCTGCCTGCAGCTCCCTCAGGAGCAGCTCCAAGCCTGGCAGCAGCTGGGGCTGCTCCTCTCTGGAGGAGGAGGAGGAGGAGGAGGGAGCAGGTCCTGCTGCTGTTCCTGTTGGTGCTGTGCAGGCTCAGGGCTCTCCCTGAGCCCCCCTGGCTGCTGGAGGAGCTGCTTTGCATCTGCTTTGGGTGCTGAGGCTGAGGAGGAGCTGCCTGAAGGGCAGAGCCCTGCGCTGGGGTGTCACAGGAGGAGGGTTTGTGTCCAGGCTGTCCCCAGGTGTCCCATGTGCTGCACCCCCCTGTGCCAGTGAACCCACAGAGACCACCAAAGCACCTTGTGGTCACTCAGGCCAGGCAATGGTCACAGCAGGAGCTTGGAAAGCCACCACAGTGCTCGAGAGCACTGGGAAGCCTAAACCCAATGAGTGGGATGGCTTGGGAAGGTCTGGGGGGGCAGAGAAGGGGTCAGTCCGTGAATCCTGGGCTCAGCCTGGCTCTGCAGAGCTGGGAAGGGTTTGGAGACAAGTGAGGATGGGCCCAGGGCCAAGGCTTTGCTGGTGACCAGGGAGGCAGAGCAGGTTTGGGTGGCAGCCTGGGAGTGGTGATGGAACAGATAAGGCTGAGCAAGGGAAGGGTGAGATGGGCTCAGGCTGTCACTGCTCACCAGCCTGAGCCCCAAACAGGGATCCCCAAAAGGATCAACATCAGCACAAACAGCCCTGCTGAGGCTGATCCTTTCCCAGGCTTTTACCAGCAGCATTTGTAACTCCCTCCGTGGCAGATCCCTTCTTGTGCACCCAGACCGACTCACCCAGGTCACCTCGTGTTTAATTGCAGGGGAACAGAGCCCTTCCTCAGCCCAGCTGTGATTTTGTCCGTGATCAAAGTCCCTCTGGCCATCCTGTCATTATTTGGGCTGTGTCATCTGTGCCCTTGCTCGTTTTTATCATCCCTGTTGCAAGACTCATTGAGAATCCCTGGGGATGAGCTGCTCTGGAGGGAGAATCCTGCATGCAGAGTGGGGAAACCTGCCAAGAGTAAATGCACAGCTCTGCTGCCTGTTGTTTAAACTATTTGGAAGGGAAAGTACTTACTCATCATCTTATGATCCTCATGCATCATCTGGCTTTATCCCCAGACCAGTGCTGGGCTCATTGATGGAATGTTTCTGTCTGTCCCTTGCAACCGGCTGCTCTACCTTTCCTCAGCGCTGGAATGACATCACCATTAGGAAATCTGAGACTGGAACAGCTCGAGTTTCTCTTGGTGGCTCGGAGCAGAGCCAGAGCTCCAGCACCTGCCCTGCCCTTGGCCACCAACAAGTCACAGTGCCCATCCCAGGGACTGGGCACTGCAGAGATCCCAAAAAACCAGAGCTGTGTTTGTTCCAGGGACTCACACCTTCCCTGTGCCAGGCACTGCCTGGGTGAGCTCATCAGCCAGGGCCCACTCCTCACTGTGAGCAGAGGCTGCAAGAGAGGAATTATTCTGATTTTTGAGTTTCAATACTGGGATTATTCTGATTTTTGAGTTTCAATACTGGGATTTTCTCAGTTACTCACAGTGTGTCAGAGCACAGAGGCACTGCAAAGTTTAAACTGGGGCACATTGAACTGGAAATGTTATTTTACCTGGGGGATTGTTGATGTTGGTCCTGCCAAAGCCACCGCAGCCCAGGCTGTGCTGGGAGTTTTCCCATCCACAGGTGCTGCTCCCTGACCTCATCCCGTGTTTCTCCACAAGCCAAAGGCCTGTGCCTGTACATGCCTGGGAATTGATGAGCCAGTTTTCATGCTGCCAGGTGGGAACACACATGTGGAACACAGACACTCCCTCCTGGCCTCCTGAGTACCCCATGTGTGGTCTCTGTTCTCCCCCTGTGCTCATCCCATCCATCCCCTTCCCTGCCAGGACCTGTCTGGGGTACAAACGCTCTGCACTGCCACAGGGCAGGGCTGGATGGGATTTTGGGCAGGAATTGTTCTCTGGGAGGGTGGAGAGACCCCAGCACAGGTGCTCAGAGCAGCAGGGGCTGTCCCTGGATCCCTGGCAGTGCCCAAGGCCAGGCTGGACAGGGCTGGGAGCAGCTGGGATGGTGGAAAATGTCCCTGCCCATGGCAGGGGGTGGAACTGAATGAGCTTTAAGGTCTGTTCCAGCCCAAACCTGGGATTTACCCCACCAGTGGATGTCTCCCACTGCCATCTCAGTGATGGCTCCTTTTTGGTTTCCTCCTCAGCTATGGGGGCTACGTTCCTCAGTTCCCCTTCAAATTTGGGAACACCTATGGCAGAATCACCCACGATGTGCTGACAGATCCCACCATCAGCAAAAGCCCTCGCTCCTTGCTGGCACCACTGGACAACCAGGCAAACCTCCATAAGTTCCATTACCACATCGATCATCCAGGTGAGCAAATGGACCCTGCTAACGAGCACAGGGTTAATTACCAGCCGTGGGGTCTGTGCCCATGGTAGGCTGCTGGATGAAATGGGATGTTTTCCTTGGAGCAATCACAGCTCTGGTGTAGGAGCACTGACTCCTGGAGAGCAGCAGAGTGAGGAGTTGGAGCTCTTGGCCTCAGCTCATGAGGATGGGGATTCTTGTGCTGTGGAGAGTTTCAGTTCCCAGGTTATCTTCAGTTGGCTGAAGAGAAGTGATTTTATGACATGTCATTAACTCACTCCCCGGTTCTTCCAGAATTCCTGGCTGGCAACTAAACCCCTACAGCTGCCTGCTCACAAATCCAAACCATGGCCTGTATTAGCTGCTATAAAGAAAATCATCTCTATCCCAGTCAAACCCAGCACAATTCCACAGGCTGAAATCCATCTTCCTGGGGAAGGTCTGGTCTCCTCAGATTCTTTCCTGGCTCAGCTGTCTGGTGCAGAGCTCGCCCTGCTCTGACAGCTTGGCATTGACTCTGCTTCTTGCTGCTCCTCCTCAGCTCAGCAGAAAACCTCCTGTGCTTTCCCTTTCCCTCTTTGCTAACAGTCCCCATCTCCACCACCAAACACTGAGACAGGCTCATGTGGATTCCCAGCATTGGGAATTTGCAGGATTCTCCCTTTGGGCAGAGTGCCTGGTCCCTGCTGGGCAGAGCTGCCCTGTGATCCTGCTCAGCCCCCTGGGGACGTGCCATCCTTTGGGGACACGTTTGTGTTTCTGTGGCTGTTGTGGATGCCCTGGACAATGGGAGTGAGTTTCCTCCAGGCTGAGCACGGGGATAATGTGCCCCTGTGGGATCTGGGTCTTTATTTCCCTGGGGAAACACCAAAGCATCACTTTCTCATTTCTCATTGGGAATTTGTGCTGTGCACCTTCTTGCAAACTCGTGGCCTCTCTGCTCCTCCTGGCCCTGTTTTCCAGGATCCAGACCACCACACAGGTTTACAGCCTTCATTCCTGGAGATCTGAATTTGCATTTCCTTGGTCTAAACCACAGCTTGGGCAGACCCAACTAACCAGTTGGCCGAGTTGCTCTCATTATTCTGCTTTTCTCCTTGCTGCCAACGCTGCTGCTCCTGAGTGAGGTCCTGCAGAGCCACCCCTGGCTGTGCTGCCAAGGGCGCCAAGAGCTCCTTCTGTCCAGCTCTGCAATCCCTTCAACCCTCCCCAGCTGCTGCCTGGAGTCCTTCTGGGTGTTTTATGTGATGGTGATCAAAGAGCTCATGGCAGTGTCGGGGCTGCCTTTAGCAAACTCAAGGCTTTTTTCTGGAGGACTGGCTTTGGTAAAGTCTCTTTATGGCACCAAGTGCTTTGCTAGTTTCTGTCAGCTGAATCCCATTTGTTTTCTTGCTGGGTGTGAAATCAGGCTGAGGGTCCCTCCCAGCTCAGGAGGTTCTGTGATTCCATGGGATCAGGGATGTGCTGAATTATCCATCAGCCCTGCTGGAACTGGTTGTGGCACAGGCTGAGTGTGCAGGCAGGAACCTGAACCTGAAAATGTGGATATTTACTCAAATTAAAAGCACTGTGCTCTCCTGGCCTTTCGTTTTGTGCCTCACTGTGCAGCCTTTCAGAATCAATCAGTTTGAAAACCTCAGGGTCATAAAAAGCATCTCACATGGATTTCCCAAGTACAGAACAACCTAAGTTTCCTTTTCCTTTGGTTTGTGGGAGGAAGAGAGTAGATTCAACATTCTTATTAATAATGAAGTAAAAAATAAACCTGCTTTAAAATTGGGATTGAAAAATCATTTTAATCAAGGATTTTTCTTTATTTTGGTGCCAGCCTGGACACTTGATAAATCAGTTGCATAGAGCATATGATATATATTTCACAAAGTTCTAGACAGAATATATACACATTATTATATAATTATGATTATTCTGATTTCTGCAGATTTGCAGAAATCGTGGAATCATTCAGCTTGGAAAAAAAGCTGTAAGATTGAGTCTGCATTAATCCAGCGCTGCAGATGGAGCCTCTGCTGGTGCCTCATTCCCTGGGATCGGGCCTGGGATGCAGATGTGCTCCCAAGGGGAGCTCAGAGCAAGGCTGTAATGACCTGGGAAAAAATGTAATGACCTGTGAGCATGAAAATGGAAGGAATTTGGTTTGTTTTAGAAAGACAAGGCTGACATAGAAACAGTTTTCCAATAAGGAGAAGGTGGCTGTGGGGTGGAGGGGAAAAATCGGCTTCAGCTGGCACAGAGGAAGAGAAAATTCCTGGGTTGGGACACCTGGGGGGCCACGTCATGGGGGATTTTTAAGGGGAAATCAGACAAAAGTTGCCAAACTCAGCTGTCCCAGCAGAATCTCAAATCACAGGGCTCTGCCCCTTGTTCACAGTGTAAGGAAATTTTTTTCCAGCTGGTGTTACAGCAGATTCTTTCCTCAATGAGCAGCAACGGGGCCAGAGCAAGAATTCCTTGGAGGGGGCTCTGTTTGGGGTGGGCTGGCACAGCCACGTGGAGTTGAGGATTGAGGGTTTTTCCCCCCTTTCCTACTTTTTAGCTTGGCTGGTGATATTTTACCGTTTGGCAGTCAGGATAAATGTTTTTTAATTGGGGTTTGTGGTGGTTTCTGTGCAGGCTGGTTCATCATGGGGCTGATGACAGAGCTGTGGGATGTGCATGGATCCTTGTGGTCTCTTCCAACTCAAGCTATTCTGATTCTACCATTGACCTCCAGGCTCCTTCCATCCCCTCAGAGGGGATAACGGGGATCCTTCACCCTCTTTGGGCCACTCCTGTCCCCTAACTCGGCGTCTGTCTCTCAGGGTATGTCACCTACCAGCCCATCACAAACCCTCCTGAGATCCCCCTGGGGCCACAGCCCGTCCCCAGGCCGCTGGAGGAGCCGATGATGACCCACATGGACCCCAGGAACTCCCCAGAGCCGGGGGAGAGCAGGACCTGGCTGCCCCTGGAGCCTCAGCGAGGGCTGGCCCTGCACCCTGCAGCCCAGGAGATGGAGATGGAGGTGGCCAAGCCACCCCTGGCCAGTGTTCTGGGAAAAGGAACGTGCCAGTGCGACTGTGGAGGGAGCAAAACGGTGAGTGGGGGCTTGGGGATGGTGGGGGTGAGCAGGGAATTTCATGTGGGTGTGAGTGGAAGGAAAGGGCACAAAGTTAAGGGTTTGTGTAAAGAAAGATCAGAAATGTTTCCAGCAGCAGCAAATCTCTAGGAAATGGTTTTGATTGTTAATTATGCTTCCCAATCAAAAAGGCTTCGTTTCTCATTTGGGTGGGTTTGGCTTCAATCCCAAAATCCCTGAAGTTGTGTTGTGCTGTGCTGGGCAGCCAGGCTTGTGCTTCCTTAGGGTGTCTTTGGAGGAATGCTGCTGCCTTCCTCCTCCTCCTCCTCCTCCCAAAGAGAGCAGTCCCAGCACCTTTGGTTTGGTTTCTGACACTGCATCTGCCCCCACCTGAATTTCCCACCACCATTACCTCTCCTTTGAACACCAGCGCTGGGATTTGCCTCAGCACAGCCAAATATCCCTCCAGACCAATGGCTTTCATGTTTTGTTTAATTTTATTTTAAAAAATATTGTTATATTTATTATATTTCAAAAAAAAAACCTTTTATTTCCTCTGGAGCCAGCAACAGCCCCTGTCACATTCCTGCAGCCATGGCTCTGAAATCCTCTGAAGGCAGAGATTAAAGGTTTGACGCAAGGAGTCAAAAGCTGTCTTGGATGTAAATCCCAGGCAGGGGCATTCCTGCTCCTTGCCCTCAGAAGCAGATTTACATCCCTTGCTCTCCATGGGGATTTTGCAAACCCCTCTAGGTCTGCTGCTTGCTCATCTCCTAATTTGACTTTCCCAGAAATGGTTGGGGTATCTCTTAGTGTGGGAAGAACTGGAAAGAGCAGTTGCCATTCCCAGGTCCTGGCAGTGATTTAAGCAGCAGAGCCGAGGTTTTCCTGGTGTTTGATTTAATTAATTCCTCTTTTTGTTTTAAGCAGATAGCAACTGGAGGTGTGGCACTGCCAGGAGGGGTTGCAACAGCAGATTCCACATTGCCAGTGCTGCCTGTCCCAAATGCCATCAGACAAAAAGCCACTTTAGGTAAAACACGGGGAGGGCACCTCTGAAGAAATGATGGGACCCTTCTCCCCCATGGATAAACCTCAGTGGTGTTACCCAGTGGCTTCAGCTTGTTTGGGATGGGAAATATCCCTGCTGCTCTCCCTGCAAGGGGTTTTTTTTGGGATGCTGTCACCCTGTGGATGTCACCATGGGCAGTGGAGGGGATTCAGGAAGCTCCAGAGGGTGAGGAGAGCTGGTGCTTGGGCTCTGCCCCACCCTGCTGGGGTGGTTATTCATCTCCTAAAAATCAGATGTTTTCCTGAATCACCAAATCCACACACAGGGGTGTATGGCACAAACACTGCCACAATTTAAAAATTGTTATATTTATTATTTTTATTATTATATTATTATATTATTATATATATTTAATATGTATTTTATATATTTATTTTATTAATATATAGCATATATATTGAGTATATTATATATATTATTATTATTGTTATTGTTATTATTATTATTTATACCACAAAGGCATAAACTCTGTCCTCCAAGGAGTGTTCTGTAAGTCCCCCCTTGCTCTGGGAGAACATTTCAGGAGAGCTGTGATGGGATGAGCTCCCCCATCAAGGATCCCACTCCAGTGGATCACAGGAATCCAGGGATCACAATATTTCAGTTAAAATCAGGGAGTGTCCATGCTTTAGGGTGAAGAAGACAAATTTCTCTCTCCAAAGTGTTCCTTTAGAAAGAGGAGTTTGGGCTGCTTTTAGGTTCTATCTCGCTAAGTTTTATGTAGTTTTAGACTTTATACAGTTTCTATTGTGGGAATTTGTTGGATGGGCAAAGCAGATGAGGAAAAAAGGTTGGACATCCCATTGTTAGCCCCTGAATATATATTAAATTGTGAGGAAACATGTAAGAGCTGTAGATGTAAAAAAAGAAAAAGAACTAAGAAAATGAAATGGTTCTTCCATACCACATGGAGACCAACAAAAACCAGTTCATGCCATTGTGTTTTCCTTGGGAATCATAAGGAAAAAAAACTCTTTCAGAGAAGATACCTCACATGCAAGAGTCAATTTTACAATTTAAACAGATTAATTTTTTTCCTTCCTATACTCTAAGGTTTTATATCCATCTCAGGCTCCTCCACTCTCAGGGTGGTCGATATTTAAATGATCATTGTATGTTTTCAAGCAGAAAATGTTCTCTCTTGCCTCCACCCAAAGGCTACGCTGGATTCATCCCCCGAGCTGCTGAAAACTTTGGCATGACCTACATTGCATCTGTGAAGAAAGCCATGAATCAATTTGATCGAGAACAGGTAGATTATAGATTATAGAAATAAGAATGTGCATGATGCTGATCCACCTGAATTTTCAGTGTAGCAGGATTAGAACTGGGGTACGAGCAAAATCAAACGCTGTTAGGTAACGTTGAAGAAAACATCAGAAATTCTGTAATTTGTTTCTTTGGGATGTTAAGGGAGGGTAAATGAGTTCATAAAAGGATTAAGGAAATCTATTGAGGGCAGGGTCAAATGTTAAAAATGTTGCTCTGAGTGCAGAAATGCAGGATTCAACTATCTGCACTTCCCTTATGGAATACATCTCCTCTGGCTGGCAGTGCTGATGTGTCTTTTTATTGGTTGTAAGGCTTTTTCCTTTCCTGACACAATTTGTCTTAAAGGGATCTCGACCTTCTTTCTCCTCCCTTTGGGAAGGATGCAGAAATCTCCCTTCTGAAAAACTCTTGTCCCCTTGCTGTAAGAGCTCCCATCCAATGACACACAATCCTCTGCACGGGTAAAATCCCTCCTGCAGCAGTTGATAGTTTGTATTCAGAGCTACACATCCCTCCCTGAGCCCAGGATGCAGGGAGATCCTGGGGATGCAGGGAGATCCTGGGGATGCAGGGAGATCCTGGGGATGCAGCAGCCTCGCTGGTCCAGCGGATCAGCACATCAATTACAGGCTGAGACATCCCAGCCCTTCCTGCACCCCGGGACACACTGCCGTGTTTTCATACCCAAGCACACAGGGCTGATGTAAGAAAAACGTCCAAAACTGAGGATCCCCAGCTCAGAGAAATCAGCTGGGCAGAAATGAGTCAGAGGGGAGAGCAGCAGGGCAGCGTCGTGCTTCGGGTGAAATGTTATTTCCCAGCGCTGGTTTCTGTCTCCTTCCCTGCTGCCGTGATTAGGAATTGAAATGGAGCTAAGAGAACAAAACCCAGGCATTTATTCCTGAATGTGCTGTTTGCTGATCCTTCCTGCCCCTGATGCCTTCAGCCATGGCAGTGCCATGCCAAGGAGGTGTCTGTCCACCCGGGAATCCGGGCTGGCAGCGGCGGAGGAGCCGACACGCTGAAAGGAGAATCACATTTCTAGCTAAGATGGCTTCTGACTTCAATCCACTAATCTCCTGCCCTAAATCTTTGTTGTCCTCGGTTACAGATGTGCCATGGATCACTGCTCAGTGCCTGCAGCAGGCACAGCAAAAATCCTGGGCTCCATGGCAGGCACAAAGGGTTCTGTGACCCCATGGGACCCACAGCCCCTCTCCACATCCCAAACACAGCTCCAGAACACCTTTAGGGGTTCTGTGGCTGTGACACCCAGCTGTGACACCCAGCTGTGACACCCAGCTGTGACACCCAGACACTCACCTGTGTCTGGTCTCAGAGGGCAGGAGATGATTTACACTCTTCCTTCACTTAATGCTCCCTAAGCCTTCCTGTTCCTCCTGGCCTGGGAATTCCAGGCTGTTCCTGGGGCTCATGGAAACACAAAGGGGGTCAAACCCAAACCCAGCACAGCAGCAGCTCCAGGGACAGCAGAGCAGGAGCACGAGGCCTTTGGGAATTGGGGATGATCCCAAAAGGAATAAACTCTGCAGCCTGTAAGGATCCCAAGGACAGCACCTGGGCTGTGCTGTGGGCATGGGGGGTGAGCTGGCAGGAGAAAAAATTATGGATTGGGAAAAGGAACAATACAATGTAGCTCTTAATTAGAAGAAAGCAGGACTGGAAAGAGTTGCTTTATGTTGGCTTAAATATTTCATATAATGCAAAGTCAGAGCACATGACTTTGGTAAAAATAGTGTGTTTTAAAATAAACCATTCCATGTTGTTGTGAGATTTTTGATTTGTTTTGTTTTCCAGCTTTTGCAGAGAAATCCACCTTATACGCTGGGCACAAGATTCCCCCGGACGCACTGGCCAGACACCAAAATTTACAGCCGTGCTGGACTCATACCTGACTACATGGGCTTTGTACCATGTAAGTTCATCAGCTGCTGGCACTAATTACTGGGTTGAGTAGCGCTGTCACTGGCTGGATTGGCACAGAAGTGAACAATCACTGAGATGTTTCACGTGGGTTGGAGGTTTTTTCTGGTCTGTGCTGAGGTGCTGGAACTCTGCCATGCCCTGGCTGCAGGAGAGCCCGGCATTCCCACTGCCAGCCTCTCCCAGGCTTCACATTTCCAGGCACCATCCCCTCCCTGAGGCAGGGGAGACTCGATGACATCCCACCTGTCACATGCCAGGAAAGGGATTTGTTCTAAAAAGCCTGAAGTCTGATAAAAAGGGAAAAGGTAGATGGTGTGGAGGGGTTGAGAAAGCACAAAAAGCATAAGGAAAAGGTGTTTGTCCTGCCTGAGCCCTGAGATGTCTTGGGCTGCCTAGGAGAGGTCTGGAGGAATTCTGTGTGTAAGGGGAAGGTGTGTCCGTGCACCTGAGAGCATTTATGTACCAGGTTAAAAAACCTCAACAAATCGGCAACGAATGCATTGCTGTGTTTGGTCACAGCTCAGAAATGTGGGTGGGAAATCATGGAGTCCAGCTGGGAAGAACAGAACTCTGCTCGTCCTTGCTGCAGTGCAGAGAGGGGAAATGGGACAAGATAGAAAATATGGCAGGATTGAAAGCAAAGAGTGGGAAAACAACTCTCCTGGCAGGGCTGGGCTGCGGCTGATGGGGACGTTGAACCCTGAAAGGAGAACGTTGAGTTCAGGTGTGACACTGGGCCCTGTTCCTGCAGACATTCCCACTTCCCTGCCTCTGGAGCCACCAGTCAGCAGAGTTTTAACTGCTCCAACCAGTCCAGCTCTGGGTGGAGAAGATTAATTAAGGCAGAAAACCTTCAAACAAAAGCAGTTATAATTTAGAACGCTGAACACAATTTCGTTAGCAGGGAAGGAACCTGCTCCCTCCTGTCCAGCTCCTTCGTGACAGCTTTGTCACTTGAAGTGATGCCAAACATGAACTGGTTCCATTGTAAAAACCTGCTGTTAATACAGGGTTTTCAGGAGACAAACCAGTGTCAGACACCTGTCAGGTGTCCAGCTCACCCCAAACACAGAGGCTGCACCAACACTGATTATCAAAACCTCTTCTGTGATTTTTGAAATCACTGCAGAAGGGCTGTGGGCTTGGGACAGCTTTGGTGTCACCTGTCATGAGAGCTGTGCCCTGCAGCCCTGGGCCAGGCCAGGGCTCCCTGCTGGCTCTGCAGGGCTGAGGAGCTGCAGTGCCAGCTCTGGGGCACCGTTTTGTGCCCCCATGCAGCTCAAACCTCCCGTGGCCCCTGCTCAGCTCCTGCCAAGCCAGGCTGCAACAGGCCACAGGGAGGTACCTAAATTTAGATCCAGCCTGGAGTTGGTTCCACCCTCCCTGTTAAACGTGCCCCCCTCCAGCAGTACCTGTAGAGAACAGCAGGGAATTCCTCCAATCCCCACAGCGGCAGGAGCAGGACTGACATCCTGCCAGGGCCACAACAGGCGTCACCTGGCTGAGGGCAGCACAGAGGGGTGGTTGCCATGGCCAGGGTGGCAGTGCTCCTGTTGTTTTTTCTCTTGCAGACCTGCAGGAACTCTGTGGGCTCACTTACGGGAACGGCACGCGGGAATCGTACCGGTGTGAACAGAGGAGACGGGGACGTGCACTGTGAAAACTGCTTTAATGGTGCCTGTACAGCATTGGGAGTGACTTGGAAACAGCAATAATAACACAACACAAACAGAACTTTTGAATGAGAGAGTTCATACAACTTTTAACAAAATTTACAGGTGTTCAACTGCATAGCTTTACTCTGCCTCCTCCTCAGCCTCCTCCTCGAACTCCCCCTCCTCCTCAGCTGTGGCATCCTGGTACTGCTGGTACTCAGAGACCAGGTCGTTCATGTTGCTCTCAGCTTCTGTGAACTCCATCTCGTCCATGCCCTCACCTGTGTACCAGTGCAGGAAAGCCTTTCTGCGGAACATCGCAGTGAACTGCTCAGAAATGCGTTTGAACAGCTCCTGGATGGCCGTGCTGTTGCCAATGAAGGTGGCAGACATTTTGAGGCCGCGAGGTGGAATGTCACAGACTGCTGTCTTAACGTTATTAGGGATCCATTCAACAAAATAGCTGCTATTTTTGTTCTGAACGTTTAGCATTTGCTCATCCACCTCTTTCATGGACATGCGGCCCCTAAAGACGGCGGCCACGGTCAGATAGCGGCCGTGACGAGGGTCACACGCCGCCATCATGTTCTTGGCATCGAACATCTGCTGGGTGAGCTCTGGCACCGTTAGAGCCCGGTACTGCTGGCTGCCACGGCTTGTGAGCGGGGCAAAACCGGGCATGAAAAAGTGCAGACGTGGGAAGGGAACCATGTTCACTGCCAGCTTCCGCAGGTCAGCGTTGAGCTGGCCCGGGAACCGCAGGCAGGTGGTGACACCGCTCATGGTGGCCGACACGAGGTGGTTCAGATCACCGTAGGTGGGGGTCGTTAACTTCAGTGTTCTGAAGCAAATGTCGTACAGCGCCTCGTTATCGATACAGTACGTCTCGTCCGTGTTCTCCACCAGCTGGTGCACCGACAGCGTGGCGTTGTAGGGCTCTACTACAGTATCTGACACTTTAGGGGAGGGCACCACACTGAAAGTATTCATAATTCGGTCTGGGTACTCCTCACGGATTTTGCTGATGAGAAGGGTACCCATGCCAGAACCTGTGCCACCACCCAGGGAATGAGTAAGCTGAAAGCCCTGGAGACAATCACAGCTTTCTGCCTCCTTTCTTACAACATCTAATACAGAATCGACTAATTCAGCACCTTCCGTATAATGGCCCTTTGCCCAGTTGTTTCCTGCTCCGCTCTGACCTGGAAAAGAGCCATTTTCGTATTAGATTACGGTCACTGCTTCCTGCTTGCAAGCAAAGCTTAAGAGCATCAGGCTCCACAGAAGCTTTCATCTTATCGAGCACAGGGCTGTGGTTTCACACAGGCACCTCTGCAGTGGCTCGGCAGACAGAGCGAAAACATTAATTATCAATGATACAGCAGCCACTCCATTTCTCCCGGTGGCACGCACGGAGGCGGTAACGAAGAATCGGAAGAGCAACGACCTCTGGTGCCGCCTCAGAGCTGCTCCCAGCCGCAATCCCGGTATTCCACGCCAGGATTAGCCCCGTCCGGGCCGGTCCCTCAGAGCATGTGCGGCGGGGCAGCCCCGCAGTGCCCTGCCCGCCCCACCCCGCGGCTCCTCCCGCCCCCGCGCACTCACCGAACACGAAGTTGTCTGGCCTGAATATCTGCCCGAAGGGCCCGGAGCGCACCGAGTCCATAGTGCCGGGCTCCAGGTCCACCAGCACGGCGCGGGGCACGTACTTGCCGCCTGCAATACAGGGAGAGCCGTCACTACCGCGCCCGGGGGGGCCCGGGGGGAGCCTGGTGGGGCGGGTCCGGGCCCTACCTGTGGCCTCGTTGTAGTAGACATTGATGCGCTCCAGCTGCAGGTCGCTGTCCCCATGGTAGGTGCCGGTGGGGTCGATACCATGCTCGTCGCTGATCACCTCCCAGAACTGCCCAAGAGAAGCGCGTCAGCGGCGGCCGCGCCGGACCGGGCGCGCTCCCCTCCCGCCCCCGCGCCCTCTATCCCCGCCCGGACCTTGGCTCCGATCTGGTTCCCGCACTGCCCGGCCTGCAGGTGCACGATCTCCCTCATGATGGCGACGGCTCCGATCACTCTCTACGAGCCTAGCTTTCCCCCAACCGACTCTGGCTGCGTGAGGCAACCGCCAGCCCTTATATAGCAGCGGAATGCGCGCGCAGCCGTCTTCTCCCCGCCCAGCCGGCCATTCGCAGCAACGATTGGATGCTTATAGCGAGGCTCTAAAAATGACAGGATCTGATTGGCTGCGCCGCTGTCATTCAAGCCGAAGGCTCCTATTGGCCCCGCCCTCCTGTCTGTTGGCTTTACGGTTAGGCAACCGGGAGCGGCGAGTGCCCGCCCCCGCTCGCTCCCGGCGCTCCCCACTGGCCCAATTGAATGATTGATGTCGAAGCCGATTGGCCGCCGGCCCTGGGGGATGAGTTAACGCCGTTTGATTGGCGGAGAACGAAGTGCCCTGGTAACCGTCGCAGTGACTCCGCAGCGGGCTCTGGGCGGTGGCCGCCGCAGCCGCCCATTCACAGACCCGAGTGCGCGCTTTGCGCAGCGGAGGCGGCGGCTCCTCCTCACTGCGGGACAGGGCGGGTTCCCCGCGGGTCCCCAGCGCTTCCCCTCCACCCCTCGCCTCCGCTCCTCCAGGCAGGACTCCCTCCCTCCTTCCTTCCGTGCCCGTGCTCCCCGTCCCGCTCCAGCCGGCGCCGCAGCGGGTGGGGGAAGGAGCCCGCGTGCGCACGCGCGGGCTGCAGCGACGTTCCAGCAGTTTCTAGCGCGCGGTCCCGCCCGAGGGTGGCGGGGCCGCGCGCGCGGGCGTTGTCATGGCGACAGCGCGGGCGGGTGGCGGGAAGGGGCTGGGGCGGGCGGTGTGAGGGCTCGGGAGGATGAGAGGGGCTCTGACGGCTCAGGGAATCTGGCTCCTGTGGGGGCTCAGGGGGTCTGGAAGCTGGGAGACGACTGTGGGAGCTCGAAGGTCTGTGAGGGGTTGTGAGGGAAGTGTGAGGGCTTGACGGGCTGTGGAGGCAGAGGGGGACCCTGGCAGCTGCTGTGAGGGGCTATGAGGGCTTAGGACTGCTCTGAGCCGTGCAGTGGCAGCTCTGTAGAAGCCCGTGTAATGTGAGGGGAAGGCCCCAATGAGGGGCTCCTGCCCGTGAGGGGATCTGAGGTAGACGTTGCTTACCAGGGCTTCCCCACATGAACACCTCCATCCTGGGCTGTGTGTGGGTACTACAGCCCCGTCATGAGGCAGCCAGACACCTCATGCTGGTTAAATACCACCCTCGCCTTTCCTCGTCCCTTATTCTACCTCCCAGCTTTGTGAGCACATTCTTGCCCAGACAGTGCATCTACTGGTCACAGTTTTATTAAGCATATTTGATTATTGTTTCAGCAGAATCTTTTTACGGTTGTGTGTATTCATTGTGATGCCGGCTGGATCTACAAGTCCCAGCATCTCTTCTTGTTTCATACTGTAGGAAAGACTTGAAAGAGGCTCCTAATGGAGCTCCCAAGGCAGGGAGTCTCATCCTGCTGCCTTGCCGTGGGGTGGGCTGAGGCAAATGCAGCCATGACCTCAATTCTGCTGACACAGGCCAGCTCTGTGTGACACACAAACGGCTTGTACACAGCCCGGAATCTGGGCCTGGATAACAATAATCCAATCCTGTGGCTGGGTCGGGTGAGGAGGTGGCAGGATATAGAAGCCCTGTGAAGTCTTTGGCTGGAGGTTGAACTGCCTCTGGTAGTTGGCTTAATGTAAAGGTTATAAGGATCGATATTTCTGGCACATAAACAACATATTCTTGCAGAGGTGCTGGAAGGAGTGCAGGAACACTTGGAGCAGCCCCAGAGCATCAGGAGTGACCCGAGAGGGTCCTGGGAAAGGCCTGTGTCAGCCTCCAAGGTGGCTGGGGAGACACACACATCTCATCATTCACATCTGCAGCTGGAATGCAGGAGCTTTCTGCAGTTCCCTCTGAGATAGCTGAGTAATGCAGAGGCATTAGGGTCCAGATTTATCCCACTAATTATAGGCATTGATTGAATAGTGTTCACACTGGAATCAGTGGAAAGGGATGGCTTGGCCTGCTCCAGCTCAGAGCAGTCCTCTGACAGCGCCTTTCTGTTCTCTGTGATGCTGTTTGAGGTGACCAGTTCCAAAAACTGCAGCATCATTTAGGTTCCAAAGGCAGCCAGGATGAATCTGGATAAGACTTGCTCAAGATTTCACACAAAGCTGTGCTAATCAGTAAAGACAGCTTTTCCTGCAGGATGTGATGCTGTCTCTTCAGAGTAATGTACAAAAGGAATCCTGACTTCTTTCTGATTAAAACCGGGGAATGTAGAGTGTGTTGCCTGTGTTGTGCTGTTCGGGAAGGGACATTCAGCATCAATTCTCATCAGCTGTGCTCAGCACAGCGTTCACAGGCACGTGTGCTTGGGAAACCCTGGAAAACCTGCCCTGAGATGGAGAGGGGGAGCCACTGCAGGGCTTGGGGGAGGTTTTCTGGTACAATTGCTGCTGCCTTTAATGCAGATACAGGTTTGGGTTTTTTCCAGCCAGGGCCAGAAAGCAAAGGCCTGTGCATTAGTGTCATCCACATCCTCACTTTGTGCTTCCCACAGCCTCTACTCCAGCCTGCCCTGCCTTTCATGTTTGGGAAGCTGCTCTGTAATGCGTGGAGTGAGCAATTGTTGCCACCCCCAGCATTCCCAGAGGGAGTGTGAGAGTGGAAATGCTCTGCTCGGTTAAGGCTCCCATACCTGTCTGCAGAACACCAGCGGGATCGCTCCCGGTGGAGCAGGGCCAGAACCCTATGGAGGAGCTAAACTTTGCTCTCTGAGTTTCCAGAGGTTTCCCCAGGAGGTTCAGCCACCTGAATATCCATGGAGGACGCATTATTTGTGCATCATTAATTTTCTGCTAATTCTAGTCTAGTCAGTGAGTATTTCTGTTCTTAGCTATGTGCACTTCCACAGGAAATGACAATTCTATCTTAAATATTTTTCCATTTTTTAA